GCAAAACTATAAGCCAGGGGGCAGCTAGGTGGTGCAGTGGATAGAGCACCAGCTCTGAAGTCAGGACGACCTGAGGTTCAAATCCGGCCTCAGATCAAACACTTGACCCTTACTAGCTGTGTGACCCTGGGCAAGTCACTTAACCCCAATTGCCTAAAAAAAATTTTTTTTTTAAATAAAAACTATAAGCCAAGTCTGTCCTTGGCAACTTTGCTTCTGACCAAGGACCCCCAGGACCAGCACCCCAGGGGTCTGCCGACAAAGCCAGCTTGAGGAAATTCTGTGAACTGCTAGGCTCCATGGCAAATACGAAAACCTTAGGATATCTTCCCTCTACTATCCCCTCCCTCCCAATACTCTGCCTGAGGGAACAGATGGGAGAAAAAAGGGGAGACAGAGTGATTCCATACATCTCAGAGGCTCTCAATTTCTTTATTTTTCAGTGTCACTATCTTTATTCCAGAACCCTAGGCTCCAAACTTTTGAGTCATCTATGACTTCTCATTTTCCTTCAATCCCCACAACCCACTGACTTGCCAAGTTCTGCCTGTTCTTCCTGTCTCTCCCATCTGTCCCTTCCTTCACATTTCCTTGATAACCAACCTGGTCCAGGCTCTGATCCTATCATGCCTGGTTTTCAGATGCTTCTTAAGTGGTCTCTCTGCCTCAGTTCCTCCTCTCTCCAATTTATTCTACACTGTCTATCAGAGTAATCTTTCTCAAACACACCATGGAGCTGTGAATTGGTTCAATTATTCTGGAAAGCAATTAGGAAGCATGGTTAAAGAAAAAAAAGGTTACTTAAACATTCATTCCATTAACCCAGAGATTCTAGTGCTGGGCATGAGCTCCAAAGAGAGCTCCTCTCTCAAAAAGAGAAAGAAATATTAATTTACAGTATTTTATTAATACTTGTGATAGAAAAAAAACTGGAAACAAAAAGGTACCCATTGATTGATGAATAGCTAAACAAAATGTGATACATGAATGTGATAGAATATTCCTACACTGTAAGAAATGGAGGTAGAGAAAATTTGGAGAATCATGGGAAGACATATGAATTGATCCAGAATGAAGTAAGCAGAACCAAGAAAACAACACACATGATGACTATGACTATATAAAAAAGAACAAAACAAAACTGAATGTTGTGTAATTATTTTAGTAGTACTTCATTTTTTCCTATTATATGTAAAGATAATTTGTAGCATTCATTTTTTTCAAAATATTGAGTTCCAAATTTTTTCTCCCTCCCCATTTCCCTCCCTAAAACAGTAGGCAATTTGATACAGGTGATGTAGGTGCAATCATGTACAACATATTTCCATATTAGTTACAGTTGTGAAAGAAGAAACAGACCAAAAAGGAAAAAAGCACACAAAAAAAGTAAAGAAAATGAAAATAGTATGTTTCAATCTGCATTCAGAGTCGATCAGTTCTTTCTCTGAATGTGAATAGCATTTTCCATCATGAGTCCTTTGGAACTGTCTTGCATCATTGTATTGGTGAGAAGAGCTAAGTCATTCACAGTTGATCATCACACAAAGTTGCTGTTAATGTGTACAATGTTTTCCTTGGTTCTGCTCTGAATGTTGTATGATTATAATGACCAAGCTTGGCTTCAGACAATCAGAGAAGCCTGAAAGTTAGAAGGTACTTGAAATAGCCACCTAAGTCACACCATAACTGAAAAAAAAAAATACCGCTACAATATACTGGACAAGTGTTCATTCACCCTCTGCTTGAAGACACCCCACCCTCTGTTAAGAGGGGAGAAAAAAATGAGAGTTTGTACCTCCCTCTCCTCTTTGCAGAGATTTGTACATGGGGAGAGGTATAGGTCTGGAATATTTCATCCAGTCAGAAATGGTTGATGTATTGACTGGTTTTGTTGAACTGCTTCCCCTCTCCCCCTTCTAAAAATGTTGTTTTATATTTGGAAATGAATGTGATATAACAAAAACACATCATTAAAAACACCATTTTCTAAATCATAGATTCTTGGACTTCACAGTAAAGAGAGGAATGAGACAGGGTTGACCCATTTTCTCACTTCCTCCTACCTATCAGTTGAACCATTAACCACACAAACTAGAAATTTTGAGTAATGAGTGTATCTTATGACCTATTTTGTTCAAACTGTACTAAATTCACCTTGAATCAAGGTGAGAAGATCCTAGACACTACTGGGAATAAACATGTCCTTGTGAATTTCTAATTTGATCATGGGTAATTATTACAAAATATTTGAGAGAATTTTTTAAAAAACCCAGTTACGTTGATTCAGAAAATTGAAATGGGTTGCATTGCCCGAGTCCTCAGTTTTGTACCAGCAGAGCAGCTTAAATCTTCAGTTGCGAATTAATTGGCAAAGAAATCATAGGCAATATTACTTGGGATAAGGCAAGGACTGCAAAACAGGGAAACCCTGGGATGCCTATCACTGGGCATTCCTGCCTTGTATGGGACCAGATAACATTTGAGTCCCTTGTAACTCTGGGCTGCTGGGAAAACAACAAAGAAGTCAGGAGCCCCAGACTTTCTACTTTTAACATAATGTCCATATGCTATTCCATGGAAACCCACATCTGCCTATCAGCACATATAATGTACCCATCAAACCCATTCCTCACCTCTACATCCAATGACTATCTCTTCCCTGATGCTCAGATAAGACGTGCAACATAGGTCTCCCCTCCACATGACCTCCCACTTCCTCTGTATTTATATTGTAAGTCCATAGTCATTAGCAATCAACACTAGAATGGGAGCCCCTTGAGGGCAAATACCAGGTTTTTGCCTTTTTTGTACCCCCAACATTTAACATAGACACATAGTAATCGCTTACAAAATGCTTGTTGATAATGAGGAGGAAGATGATGATGAAGACTGATAGGATTCATGATAAAGAGAGAAGCAAAGAGGGTCTTAGTGTGAATATACTATTTATGATGTTATACCTTTTGACAGTACCAAGGACTTTGGGTCCTAGGACTTTTCCCCACATCTTCAGTAGCTAAGGGTATGGGAGGGCAGGAGTTGCAGCACCTGAAGAAGCAGTTGCCAGGCTGAATTACAAAAAGGGCAATTTCACTAGATGATGGCCACACGGAATGGACCAGAAGAAGAGCCCATGGTTTTGAGGGGTGCTCTCATTCCATGGGTTCTTGGAGCATTCATCAGGGTCTGAAAGAGGGTGGTTTAACTCAGTGGTACATACCACCTCTTGTTTCTTCTTTCAGAGGCAGTGATGGTCCATGTCAACTCTCATATAATCAAAGTGTTAGTATTAAAAAGCTGGGCCTTTGCTTTCACCTAAAACCTGGGGTCATGAAAAATGCTCTGATATTTCCCCAGAGCAACCCAGCCTGCTCTTCTCTTCTTTGGCAACCCTGGGAGAGGTTCATTGTTTATCTGCACTCTACACCAGACAGACATACTGTTGTTGGACAAGCTCTAGAAAATATCCATTCAAGTGCATGTTGAAAGCTGGGCAGCAGACATTCTTCATCCATGTGGTCTTTCCTCTGTGGATGGACAAGCCAGGCTCCTTTGACGGATCAAAGATTTCTTCCAGGAGGCTCTACAAGTTTCAGTATAATAATCAGCACAATGTCCTCAGCAAACTGGAGCATCCTGGGGACCTCATCATTCACAGAGAATCTGTCCTTTATCTAGACCCGTCACCAGATCTTGTCTATAACAGTGGCAAATACTTTTGGAGAGGAGATCCAGAATGACCTTGTATGCATAGGAGATACTTAATGGTCAGTCCTTTAATAAATATTAATAGTGTTTAATAAATATTAATGCTTTACATACATTGTTTCATTTGGTCCTCAAAGGAGCCCTGTGAGGTAGAAATTCCCATTTCAGAGGAGACTGAGGTCATCTGGCGTGTGTGTTTGTGTGTGTGTGTGTGTGTGTGTGCGCGCGCGCGCGTGTAGGACATGTGCTTTCCAAACCATCTCCTGTGAATCCAAATTGGCTTCTCTTTCTACAACTGACAGCTGCCTCCTCTTAATAACACACATTTTCACCACGTGTGTACATGTCTCCAGTCTTCCTTACTCCTCGTCAGTGCAGTTTAGGAGCTTTTGCACGCATATTCCGAGACAGTATTCGTTGACTGAAGGAATTACCGTATTAACGTGTTTTGGAAGGCAGAAGTCGCGCACCTCCGCTGAAGACTTAGGAATGTATAGAATTCTGCCTGTCTGAAGATGTGGCCCTGCAGGATGAGCCTTTGGCATTTCTCGGTCATAGTTCAGGTGCTGGACAGAGCAGCTTCCACTGCCTTCCCTGCCTTCCCGGAATACTTGAGAGCCAGAGAGGGTTCATGGCGTTAGGAAGGCTGCACCCCAAAGGCCACTCACCCGGTCACTCAGCCTCTGCTTAATGGCCAGATCGAAGCTGAGGACAGGACTAAAGGGGAGGAGGGAAAGGGGACCAGCCGGGGTCAGTAGAGTGGCCAGTCTGGCCAGAGGCGGAGGAAGGGCCAAGGACAAAGGCTGCCTCCCGCCCGCGGGGTCCCTCCATGGATTCAGGACTTCTCAAGTTCCGGCAGTTTGGAAGTGGGCGGGGAGGACCCCTGAGGGGAGAAAGTTGCTTAATTTGGGCTTAGAGAACTCGCGCTCCGCCTAACCCTGGGTGCTGAGGGTCCAACGCTCCCGGGAGGCCGCTGCAGCCTGTAGAACGTGCCTGGGATCTATGGATGGAACGTTCCCGGGAGCTATGGATGCCAAGCTCCCGAGAGGCGGCTGCTGTCCATAGAACGTCCCTGGGAGCTTCGGCTGGAACGTTCCCGGGAGGCGGCTGCAGCCGGCAGAGCGCCGCGGGAGCAGCAGATCTGACCCAGCGCCCCGGAGGCTGCTGCAGACCGTGGAACCCGAGCTCGCCCGCGCGCCGCCTGCTCCGCCCCTGCCGCCTTCTCCTCCTCCTCGTCCTCCTCCTCCTCGTCCTCCGCCTCCTCCGCCTACCCCCGCGCACTCCTGGCCAACATGGCGGCGGCAGCGGGGGTCGGGCGGGATAGTTTACCTGAGCACTGGTCCTACGGGGTCTGCAGGGACGGCCGCGTCTTCTTTATCGAGTGAGGGGCGGGGGCTGCGGGCGGGGGGCGCAGGGCCGGGAGAGGCGGGGCGGGGGAGGGTTTAGCTGCGCGGTTCTCCGCGCACCCGGTTTCCCTCCCGGCACTAACAGGTGCACGTCTCTCCCCGCCCCCCGCAGTGACCAGCGCCGCTGCACCACCTGGCTGCACCCGCGCACCGGGGAGCCCGTCAACTCGGGCCACATGATCCGTTCAGGTGGGCGCGGGACCGGGGCTGGGGTGGGGGTGGGGGTGGGGGAGCGGGCGGGAGGAGGGAGCGCGGGGCCGGGGCGCTGTGCACCCACGGCACCTGGGCGGGGATGCGTTGTGGGCAAAAGTTTGAGCCGACTTTTCTGGGTCTCTTTCCCGGTCTCTTTCCACCTGTTTGGGCTGCTTCAGATCTGCCCCGCGGCTGGGAGGAGGGCTTCTCGGAAGAAGGCGCCAGCTACTTCATAGAGTGAGTCTTGGGGGCCCGCTATTGTGCGGCTGGGGCTGGGGAGGGGGCAGCCAGGGAGGGAGTAGGGCTGGTGGGGAGGCCTGGAGCTCTGGACCGCGTCGAGCCCGCCTTGCCGGGACTTTGGCCAGCCCCGCCCGAACCTGGGCGCCGTGGGGAGCGCGCCTGCCCACCCAGGACGTGAGTGGAGCCTCGGATGGGCTGCGCTGGGGCTGGGGTCGGCCAGGTGTCGGGGAGCCACTGGGGGCTTTCCGTGTCCTCGGGTCTCAGGGGCCGGCCCCGCCCCCGGCTCGAATTCTGTTGGCGCGCACTGTCCAGGTTGCGAGAGCCGGCGTTTGTGCAGCCCAAGGGGCCTGGAGTGGGCTGGGGAGGGGCGGGGGGGCGTGCAGGGGACTGTGCCTTTCCCTCAGGAGAAGACATTCCTTCTCTCGGTCCTCATCCCCTTCCTCTGAAGTTTGCATACTTTGAAGCATCGCTGGGGGTGGGGAGGGGTAGCAGTGTCTGTGGCCAGGATCCCAACTTCCCCTGCTGTGATCTGCTTATTGTGCTGAGAGAGGGGCATCGAGGGACATATTTGCTAAGATCCCCTCTCCCCAATCTTTCCAGAGTCAGGGGTTCTGGGACTTGGTTCTTCAGGGGGCTGGTGTTTGAAGCACCAAGCTCTGCAGTGCTGTGTTGCCCTCTTCTGCCTCCCAATACCTACAGATAGGAAAGTCAGCCCCTGGTGGGCAAGATGTGGCCCTGCCCTGTACTTTTTTCATAGCTCATATAGGGCTGCCAACATCCCAGCTGCCCAAGTAAGTACTTATGAAGTCATTAAAATAAAACTTACTTACTACTCTTTCTAATAGGACAAAATGTATCCCCCAGCTCTGTTCTCTTCACCTAGCCCCTGGTCAGACTGCTAACAAACCTCTGTTACAATGTTCTCTCCTCCCCCCAAACCCTACCGCCCCACCAGTCTGGCTAACTTTCATGGTAACTCTGGGACAATTCTTTATCAAGCCCGTAGATCTTACTGAGTGATTGTAGATAGGTCACTTAACTCTATCGAGTTAATCCTTTCAATTCCATCTGAGGTAAAAAACAGATAATGCCTATGCTTGTGTAGGTGCCTCAGGGGCAGGGGGTGAAAGGGGTAGACCTTGAAATCAGCAGGACCTCTGGCCTCCCACCCAAACTGACTATGACCCTGGGCAAGTCACTTAACCTCTGTTTGGCTCAGTTTCTTCTTCTGTAAAATGGAAATGATAATAACATCTATCTCATACAATTGTTTTGAGGGTCTAATGAGATTGGGTATGTAATGTACTTTGTAATTCTTAAAGTGCTTTATGGAAATGTGAGCTGTTATTATTTATTATGTGATATAGGGGAGGGAGGAAAGACCGTCGCTTTCTTTTTTGGAGAGGGGTATTGGTTCCAGGACGCTGAATAGGATATGGAAATAGCTTCTAGAATCTGGTTCTAGTAATGTGCAATAATGGTTTTTGGTCTGATTTTTGGAACTATCAGGAGTTCAGTTTGGATCTGTCACCATCATGATTACAGGTGCCCTAGGCGCGTGTAGGGCATTGGTGAAGTTGTTTTCTGCACTCCTTTAGCAGATACTTGGGATTCCCTCCAGAGCCCCCCACCCCACCCCCACCCCCACCCCCACCCCTTACCTTACATACCTGGTCTTCCTTGATAATAATACTATTTGATATATGTTTAATCTCGTTTGAACCTCTCATCAACTCTGTGAAGCTGGTATTACAGGTATTAATGTTTTCATTTTACAGATAAGGAAACTGAGGTTGAGAAATGTTAAGTGACTTGTCTATAGTCAGGCATTAATGGTCAGAGATGGGATTTGAACACACCTCTTCCTGACTGGAAGGCTACCGCCCTCTCCATTATTCCATACTGCCTGAGGCCGGGAGGATTGTGCATAGCAGGTCTTTATAGAGCTGAGACTGAAATAGAAGTCCTGTGTTTTCTTGCTTAGTTTTTTCCAGTATGCCCTCATCAATATAATTAATGGAACTTCTAAAAGCAAATAGGGTCTTTGATCAGGACTAGGTAGGCCTTAGTATGGGGCAGTCTAGCCTTATGGACTTCAGAGGCTAGAGGTGGTAGGCCACCTGTGGACATGCTGGCTGTGGGATGTGGAGACAGAGTGAGCTGCTTTCCCCCTCTTTGAACGGGCTCCAGATTCCCCTGTGATTGCCTTAGGGCTGGACATGTGTCTTGGCAACCCCCCAGTGAATATGAAATCCAGAGGAGCCCGACTGGACTGAAGAGATGCTGCAGCAGATGCAAGACAGACACCAGGACCATGGCCAGGGAAGGAGCCAGATCCTGCCCCTTCTTCCAGATTTCCGACTGTGCCGGTACACTTGAAGACCAAGCTGGACTGGAAGAAGATCCCTAATGGGGCGAGGCAATCTGGACGGACTATGGCCCCTGATGTGGCTGCTCTGGGTTGATGTAACGGGGCGGCCAGGTGCCTGATCGGGTGTCCTGGAAATTCTCATCTGTGGATAGCAGGCACTGGGGATGAAGACTCTAATACTCCCTGCCTACTCTACCGCCATTCCAACCCCCATGAGTATGACATGTGATCCATCTTCTCCTGTAGAGTAGGGCAGCTGAGGACCATGGCCTATGACGGCATCACAGCAGGCGTCTGTTCTCCCTCAGGTGTGACCAGGATATTTGGATGCTTTTTGCTAATATAAGGTATTTTGCTTTTCCAGTAGTGGATTCTTAATGAGAAATAGCAGAGAAAAGGACATTAGACTCTGGAATCAGGAGACTCAGGTTTCATTCCAAGCTCTCCCATTGGCTCACTGTGTAACCTTGGGTAAATCCTATTCTTGACTGATGAACTGAAAGAATTAACTCTATAGAGTTAAGTGACTTATCCACAATCACTCAGCAAGATCTAGAGGCTTGATAAGAACTCTCCCAGAGTTACCATGAAAGTTAGCTACAGACTTGGGGGCGGCTAGAGAGGGAGTGGAGGAGAAGGCAGAGTATTAAGCATTGAAAGAGAGGAAATTTGTTAGCAGCCTGACAGGGGGTTAGGGGAAGAGAACAGAACTGGGGGATACATTTCATCCTATTAAAAAGTAATCTGGGGATAGCTAGGTGGTGCGGTGAATAGAGCACCAGCCCTGGAGTCAGGAGGACCTGAGTTCAAATCCGGCCTCAGACACATAATACTTCCTAGCTGTGTGACTCTGGGCAAGTCACTTAACCCCGATTGACTCACTTAAAAAAAAAAAAAGAAAGAAAGAAAGGACTCAACCTCTGTTTCCTCATCTGTAAAATGGAAGGTTTGTTCAGTAAGGCCCACTCTGGCTTGAAAATTCTTTTCATTCTTTTCCTTCAGTTCAATTCAACTGAACAACAATAATGATTTCTAGTGATTTTTTTTTTTTTTGGTGAGGCGATTGGAGTTAAGTGACTTGTCCAGAGTCATGCAGCTAGTGAGGGTTATGTGTCTGAGGTTGGATTTGAATTCAGGTCCTCCTGACTCTAAGGCTGGTGCTCTATACACTGTACCACTTAGCTGCCCAAATATCTAGCATTTTTACAATAATTTTAAGGTTTGCAAAGTGCATATGCTGTAGGTAATAATCATTTTGTTGGAATTATCGTTACAGTATTACTGAGTTAGTTGCTATTAGTATCCTCCCTTTTACAGATAAGGAAATTGAGTTAGAAATTAAGGGACTTGCCCAAGGTCAAAGCTACAGTAAGAACCTGAGGTAGGATTTGAATTCAGGTCTGCCTGACTCCAAGGGCTGCCCACCTGCCCATGTTCTACTTACATGGCTTCTGCTATGTTCCAGGTTTGGTGCTAGGTTCTGGGAATGCAGAGACAAAAATTAAATGCATCCTGCCCCAGAGTAGCTTATGTTCTCCTGGGAGGAACAATCTATACAGCTCCATTTCCTTCTCTGCTCTTGCTGAACTTGGCCATGTGGGTTAGAGAGTGATTGGCTAGTCCTCTTCTAAGGATTATATGGAATACATGCAACTACTTTGTTATTCGAAGTAATTGAGACCTAACTGTTATTACTACAGGGTGTTCCAAGGCTTTGGAAAGTCCCAAAGGGTTCCTCTGACTGAGTGGGGTGTTTGAGTGAGAGATCCTAAGAAAGCTTAACTTGCGATTGAATGCCTAGTGGTTAGGCAGGTTGGGTAGCTACCCTGTCCCCAAAACACAGTCCTCCAAGTTGTTGGGATGGCAGCAGCTTCTAGATCTGGGGCCATCCAAGACAGGAGGTGGGACAACCAATCAGTGTCTCATGTGTCTATTACTAAGCAATGAAAAGTTCCAAATGCTTGGCTTTTAAAAACAGGGAAGAATGGAAGGACACATCCCAGATGCTGGATGTCACCACTTTTCCAAGAGGAAAAAAAATTCCATGTGTTGTGTATAAGGTTAAGGACAGCAATCCTCTTTCCCCACCTGAGATTAGAGAGAGAAGAGAAGTAGAAATAGTGGCAAACAGAGTGGGAATGGACTATTCTACAAGATTTTTTTTAAAGTCTTGAGTCACCTGCTCACTTCAGACTGGCATACTTGAAACCCCTTGGAGAATCCCTGAGGTGTGGGTCTGTGTAAGCTACTTTCCCAGAGTTCCATTAAACCCTCATTCAATAAAACTCCAACTTCGGAAAAGTAATTTTCCCAAGTGTGCCTAGCACACTTTCCCCCAGGAATGCTGATTGATGTTGAATTTTTGAATAAGCAAAATGTGTACAAGTTTGGAAATCCAACAGCTTTGTTTGTCATTGACTGGGAAAGGTGGGCACTAAGATGATGTCTCTGGAACTTTGTTAGTTTCTGATCTAAATCATTTCTTGGAAACACTGTCAAGTCAGCTTCCTCGGATCATTGATCCAGAGCTGACCAGAACCTTTGAGATCATCTGGTTAAACCACCTCATTTTCAGATTAGGAAACTGAGAGTTAATTTTTTTTAAAAAATCTGTTTATTTTTAACA